TCAGTTAAAGGGCACAGGTGAGACGCCAGGGGCACCATCAGCTGTCCCATGGGGAAACCTCTTGCAGGATCCCTATGGGTGCCGTGGGCAAGAGGTGCAGGGTGAAACTGAAACAGGGCAGATGGAGGATGGGTGAGGTGAAGAGGTTATTAGCAGAGGTGCTCGTCCAGCTCCTGCCTTCTCCAGACCCTTCTCCATCTGTGCCAGCCACCCTGCAACACAGAGAGAGGAGACAAAGTGGGAAACAGGGGCTGGCCTCATGGTGGAAGTCACCAGCACCGGGCACCACAGGTTTCCCTCTAAACTGGTGAGAGCTGAAGATGCCCAGGTTAACTGGGTGCAGGTGGAACACAGGACCCCATCCCACAGCTCACATCATGCCCTTCGACGGGAACACTAGAGTTGGGTCCTAAAGGAAAAAGCAGGGAAATAGCTACATCCTCCACATCTTTTCACCACCCAATAAGAGGATCAGGTCCTTCTGGAGCCCTTTGGGATGAAGAACCTGCCGTCGGTTGCTGACGCATCTGCCCCAGCAGGATGCCCAGCCATGAAGCCACCTTCACCCACACCCCAGGCCATGACTGGGAGCTCATGCTGCCTTCTGCTCCGCGGCAAAGATGTGTTGGAAAAGCGGAGCTCAGGGGGAGAGCAGGATTATATGGCAAGCCCAGTGTGCAGCACTGGAGGACATGCTGAGGAAGGACCAGGTCCTGATACAAAACCTGACGGTTGTGGTGTAAAGTTATTTTTATCTGTTCCTCTCAGCACCTCTGTTCTTTTATTTGGCAACTTCCTGGTGACATCTAGAAATGACACCTCCAGTAGCATCTCCCCCCACCTCCAAACAAGATGGGCAAGTCAGCTGACCGCAGCAACCCACCTTCCTGGTGCAGAAGGCACTGGGCTGAGGAGGACCAGATCCAGATTTAGCACCCCCAGACCAGCCCCCAACTCCACCATTGTGGCCCCTGCGTGCTCACTCCCACGCTGCACCCATCCAAAGGTCCAGTTCTCCCCAGGGACGGCGCCGCTGCCACCCGCAGCTTGTCGGGGCTGCAAAGCAACACCAGCCCAGCCCAGCGCTGCTCAAATTGTCTGTAATGAGCCACAGGAAATAGCTGGGGAATAATTAGAAGGGGGTCCACTATAGTGAAACAGGACCTTAATGAGCACAGCACTCTGGACAAATGCCAGGTACCCGACCTCGGCAGGACCAGCTGTGCTGGTGACAATTCCTGTCACTGTGGAGGTGACAACCCCATAAGACTCAGCTCCTGCAGGATGCGATGCCAGCCCCAGGGAGGGGGCACCAGGATGGATCCCTTCTTCCCACGATGCAGGGATCTGCTGGGGCACTTCCCAACATGCCTACGCTGCCACACATCACAACTGCAGCAGGAAAAGCTGTGTTTCAATGAAAACAAACCACCCAGCTTGGGAGGAGAGGGGCTAGAAGTGAGCCCCAGAGTACAATGGGACAAGTAGCCTTGCTGCTGTCACCTCCTCTCCAAGTGCCTCCTGCTTAGTGCTGCTGGTAGTGACAGGCAACACCCTGAGAAAGAAAAAACCCTCAGCATCTCCTGATGGCCCGAGCACGTAAAACTTGTTGCTTAGCTCCTGGCAGCTTCCTCCATGACCCTCTTGCTGGGAAAATGGACCAGCAGTGCCTATGAGTGAGGCCAGGCAGGGAATAATGTTGTAGTTTAACCCCTGGTTTAAGTCCCCTTCCTTATCGTGGTGCAGGAGGGAGAGGGGAGGCAGAGCCCGCCCAACCCTGGCGCACCCAGCTGGCCCCTCTCGCGCTTCCGAGAGCTTTGCTCTGAATTGGCCCTTCACACCCCCTTCCAAAAAACTCCCCAGGAGGAACTCATGGAGTTCTTGTCAAAGGCTGTGGTGAGCACTTTTAGAAGATTTTCTTAAGAGAAGTAGAGGATTACATGCAGCAGAAATGTGTTTCCTCCTGACCCATTGGGAAAATTGTCATTTTGCTGCTCTGCCTCTGCAACTGCGTCACTGCAAAAGCCCACGTGCTGTATGGAAGTACCGGTCAAACCTGAAATGGGATTGTAGGAAGTCCCTGTCTGCTCCGCCACCCACACCAGCACACAGCGCTGCTCCTCCCTGCCTCTTCCAAGATTGTCACCATTCTGTTCCAGTGCCCTGCCTGCACCTGCCGGCTCTGTGCAGGCAGGAGGCGGGCAGAGCACAGCTGTGCCCATGTTCCCATCGTCACAGGTCTCCGCTATTGTCCAGGGAACCCATTTACCTCACCCAAGCATAGGAAGGTTGTTATGGGCCCCAGCAAAGCAGGCCAGCCTGCTCCCATCACCAAACCCCTTCCCAAAGCTTTGCGCATCCTTCCCCACGGTTTCGGCGTGTTTTGATGTTGCAAATAACCTGGCAAACACCAAAGCAGCTTCAAATCCTGTCAGCTCCTTTTAAAAGGGAGCAATAACCATGCCGGGAGTGCCACGAGCACTGTCATTTCCTCATATATATGTCAGAGCAGAGGTGGGGGTTCGCTGGAGTTGATGGTGCGGAGTGCTCAGTATGCAAATAGCGCTTAACTCGGTCTGAGCAAACAGAAACAAGGAGGCAAAACCAACCCTATCCCGAAAATCCTGTGACAATTAAATGACAATTCTGGGTTTCCTTTTTGCAGCTAACTTGAATTGAAGCCAGTTTGCTTTATTACCATTCAGTTACTCTTTTAATGTCTTATCACATCCAAATCCTAGGTCTACTTTTCAGAGGAGAAATGTATCTGTAATGTACCTGCATCCGCCTCGCTCTCTTTGTCCCAGATTTGCACTTGAAGGGAATTAAGGATGTGCTCTGGGAAGATCAAAAATAGAAATACTCCGAGCAAGCTAACAGCTATCATCTGAAATATAATAAAATTATATTTAAACCCATACGCTCCTACGCTGTGGTTTTTTTTATATGTGAATGAGGTATCTTTGGGGAAGGCAGGTCTCACAGCCCGGGGGCTTTCCATGAGTTTCACCGAGGACTAACAGCCTCAGTAACTAACAGCGTGTAGGTTCCCTTAATTTTCTTGGGGCTGTCTCTTTGATACGTGTTTTGCGAACAAGTAAAATGTGGTGACCAAAACGCTGGCGGAAAGAGCATGTGGAGCTGTGAAAATCATGCCTGGAGGCAGCAGCGTGGGCAGGGGACACAGTTCCTGCTCCTCATAATGCAAATAGGTGAGACAGTCTGGGGCAGAGCCATGGTGCCCTGCACAACCCAGAACTGGAAACTACAAGATGCCGAGAAGCCGTGAGATGCAAAACGGCCCAAAAAAGGGTGAAATCAATGAATAGAGGGCAAGTACAGCCCTAATGATTCAACACAGTGCTCAGGTGCAGTTTCTGGCCTTGGAGTTTTCCTCTGGAGCTGATCCCAGGCGTTGAGGGTCAGAGCTCACCCCAGTTGCACACCCGACCTCTGCTCTGATGGGGACCAGGCCTCCCCTGTCATCCACAAAACCTGTCATGGGGACAGCACACATGGGAGGACACACAGCCGCACCAGTCCCTCACCACAGCGCTTTTGCACCCACAGCCAGGACAGAGGAAGGCTGGAAAGTTGTCGAACAGGACCACAAACTTACAGCACCAGGAAAGCCATGGCATTGTGCAGAGCCCAGCATGTGGGCACCCCCACTCCACTGCACCAGCAGTGACTAGCAGGAGGCAGGCACAGCAGGACAGACCCAGGGAACCTGGGCATCAGGGTAGGAGCAGGACTCCTGATGCGAGCCCTCGAGGGTTCAAGGTGGTACTTCCAAGCGTCTGCTTGGCCAAGTACCTGCCAGCTTGTCCATAAGCCAACGGGCTCCTCCTGGCCTTACTAAGGAGAGGTGGTCATGTCCCAGCCTAGGCAGAAGACGCTGCAGACAACTTGGTGAAAGCAGCATCCCTGGGAAGAAGGAGTCCAGCCAGATGCAGCAAAGTTTTGTGCAAGCTGCCAGCACCCACCCTGGCTGCACAGACACCTGGCAGGATGTCCAGAAGTGCCACGAGGAAGAATCAGCCAGACCCACTGGTTCATTTCTCCCTTTTATTAAAGTGTAAACTCAACCCCCCACCCCCGCTCCTCCCCCACTATTAAATACAAACCAGGAGCAGAGAGTGGCTCCTCAGTCGCTTTCTCCTTAGGAGATGCGCAGCCAAACACCCTCTAGTGCCCATCAAGCCAGGCACCACTTCCCCTGTCCCCAAGGGCGGCCCCAATGGTCAGGAGGCTCTTGTCCCAGGGCTGCCACCTCCAACGTCCTATCGATACTGCGAAGGCCGAAGCGGCCTGGGTCACGGTTCCCATGGGGAGCAGCTCACGGTACATGAATACAGCAGGATCCCTTCTGGCACCCCCTGTGCCCAGTGGTCCCAGGGCCAGGACCCCCCACCCCGAACTCACCGGGAGTGCTCTGTCTTGTTGCCAAGTTGCAACCTCCTTATTGCTCTTTTAGGGTGGGATGTGTCCCATCCCGTTGTCCCTGCATGACCGGGCCAATGCTCCGAAGGAGCGAGGGGCACAGCCCTGTCCCAGGGCACTGAGGGAATCACGAGGGATCACCCTCAGCCCTGTGGCAGTCAGGGACCTGCAGCAGGGGTGCCTGGGGCTCTGCATGGCCCTGGTCAAGGGGGGACAGCAAGGGACAGGGCAGCCCATCACCTGCCCCCTGCCGGGATGGAGAGATGGGGCCAGCAGCCCACAGCTCTGCGGTGAGGAGCCAGGCGATTCGGCTCGCAGCTCGGCCACTCCGACCCCACCACGCCCTGGGGTCTGCACTGCTATGGTGGCTCCAGAAGGACCTGAGCACTCCAGGCTGGCAGACCCCGGCCCAGGTAGCCTCAGTGAGGCAAGTCATGAGCTCGGGCACCAGCATTCCTTGCAGCGCCAGGAGGAGGAAGACTGATTTGGGCAGCAGAAGAGGTGGGATGGGCAGGCAGGCATGACAGGGCAGGGTCAGCCCCTCCGTGCCCCGGAGTTCAGGTGCTGTTCCCCTGTTCCTGCTCGAAACGCACCATGGCCAGCTGGGAGCGAGAGCCTACGCCCTCCAGGCTGCTCTGCACACAGCGGTGATAGATCTCTTCACTGAGCCGGGGGTTGCAGGCCTGGTGCCGGTAGTGCTGCAGCAGGGCGGGCTCCACGGCCCGGAAGACATGGAGGTTGGAATACTTGATGAACATGTCATAGATGTCCAGGGTCTCCAGGATGTCCTCGTTCTCCTGTACATCACCTGCCATGCGGGTGCGTGCTGCCATGTAGTCGGCGTTGTAGAAGCAAGCTTCGTGGAAGACATCACGGTCGAAGCGCCCCGCGTCCCGCAGCAGGTCCAGTGGGGCAGGTGGCACCTGGTTGTGGTAAGCAATGGCAGGGTTGTAGCCCTGGAAGTGGATGGGGAAGAAGACCTGCCAGTTGTTGATAGTGTTCATCCGGCAGGGGTTCAGGAAGTCGATGGTGACCTCCGTTCCCACGCCGGCCACGAAGAACAGCGTGTCCACGGGATGCTTCTTGGAGATGATGTCCATGACTTTGATTTGGGAGGGCGCATCCGTCTTGACGCTGATCCAAGGGATCTTCACCTCTGCATACTTGCGCTCATACTCAGTGATCTGGGCCTTTACAGGGGCGAAGATGTCATTCTGGGTGACCTGCTGGGCCTCGAAGGGGTCGTAGATGAAGAGGAAAGTGAGCACTGCATTCTCGCTGCTCTCAAAGGCAGCTGCCGCGTAAGCCTCCAAAAAGCGGGCAGCATGGTCCCGGTCGTGGGCCGTCAGTGGCAGGATGACGTTGATGCGGCTGGCCTCTGTCACGTAGGGCATGGGGATTATCTCCACCTCACTGAGGGGCCGCACCAGGTGAACACGCTTGGTGACGGAGCGGCTGTGCCCTTTTTGGGTCACCACCTCTACTTGGAGGTCCAGCGTGTACTCCATGCCGCGCGTGGGGTCGAAGCGCCGGTACCCGCTCACCAGCTGCTGCTTGCGGACGTGGAGCAC